TCACAGCTTTTGTCATTCTATTTATCTCTTGACGTGTAGCAAACGCAAAACACTTTCCAACTTGAAACAGCTTTAAAGGAAGAATTGCAAGATTAAAAAAAATGGGAATATCACTTGAGGATTGTCACCAAATATTTCCCAATTTTAGCTCTGGCATATTTTTTCATTAGATGAGATGAAAGAAATAATACACATGCAAAAATATTTAATCAATTACAGATGGTGATAAGTTCTGATGTTCGTGTGATCCAGGAACTTAATTTTTTATACAATATACCTCAATGAGATTGTCCCACTTGTGACTTAATGGTTGTTTCTGAAAAAAAAAACAAAACAGAACAAATACAAAGATAAAAATATTTAATCAATTCAAGTACCGGTACTCCAAAACCATTTTACTTCTTAACCATAGTAACAAAATTAAATTCCGCATGCATAGTTCACAGAAAATTATTACCTCTGAATATTTCTTCTGTAAGAGATATCTCAATCCATTTAAGTTCTTTTCTTTGTATATATTGGGGTAGTTCTCTGGAAGAACAGAAAGCAATTCACATAACATTGCCTTACACACTAAAGAACAGCAGACAAGTCTGTTTTGTTTCTTAAACAATACTTGCTTCTCATGAAAAAGAAGTTTAAGAATGAAAAGTGAAACTGATTTTAAGATGTATTAAGGGAGATGCAGTGGCCTCCTTGGCTAAAATGCTGCACACTGTCTAGAGCACCTGAAGAAGAAGACTTGGTCAGGCTAAAAATGTACAGTACCTCTTCAAGATCAAAGAATGCAAGAAATACATGTAATTATATTCCAGCAGGGTGCACAATGACCATCACCCCAACCCTCCCCTCCCAATCCAACCCTTCAAAGTATAAATATTTAAAAAGGTAAAAAACAAACAATTAAGACTTAAAATTCAGATGGTACAAACACCAGAATCTGAAGAAACCACATGGCATAAATCTTTTCCAGTGCAAAATACTTCCATTTTTTTTCTGGCAGCATGGATACCAGCCTGCTGATACACAAGTTAGAGCAAAGGTGTACATGCACCACATCATGTATGATGTGCTGAAATTGTAACTATGACTAGATCTTTTTGAAAAATCTCAGCTGAAGCCCTTGTCAGAATCTTACTAAAAATTAGTGCATATGCAGCTATACTTACAACTTACAATTTCTGTACCATACCTGCTTTTAAATGAAACATTTTCACAAGCCTCTCTCCTAACTTAACAAGAATCTTGTTCTTGAGTCTATGGTCCTTTGGTTTTGGAGAAACAGTCTTCCTGATGAAAAACAAATTTAAGAAGTTTATCTCTCTAATAATTACTGTTAGCAGTCAGTGACAAAGGGTTTTGCCTCATCTTATTTCCTCCCCAGAGCTGTCATCCTGAAGAGCAACTTGACAGCTTAATGGCTCTAACCAAAACTGTTTTTTTTTCAGATCTGCAGAAACTACATCTGCATTTAGTTTTGTCCCCTTTTTCTGTGGTTACAGTAGCCAATGAAATGGTGAGAAAAACTGTGGTTTGCCAAGGCTAATTTAGTCTGTGGAACTGTTTTTATAAATTTCCTATTATCAATAAACTTTAAGGCCTTTCCCTTTACACCAATTTTGATCAATGCAACAGTTAAGGTAAACATTCCCTTGGAGATTCACTTATTGTTATGTACTTGTAACTCTAAAATTAGCTCTAGAGATAGGCCTTGTTTCTTTAAATAACTGCAATCAGTAAACTGCCAGGGAAGATTAAAATGAAATTAGTTTGACAAAGTCATATATTTAACAGCTGTTTTCACTTACTCAACAACAAGCTCCAGATCATCATCTGTCATTGTACACAACTCATCTATCAACTTCATAAAAAGTTGTAATGACGCAGGACAGCCTGCCACATAGCTAGATGCAATTAAAAGTTATAGGTTTTAAGTTTACAAAGTATCACTGCTTGCAATTTACAATGAGTTTTTAGAGCCTTTGTACCAACTTAGCTGTAATTTGTTCAGGTCAAGAAGCAAAATACCGTATCTGTAAAACTTGTGTAGGATAAATAGATCAAAATTTCAACATTCAATTGACTACAAGTAATATCTTGTTTCTCTTCTGTTTGTTTGAATATATATTCAAAATGTCAAGAGAATTAAAATCACTTCTGGAGGGAGTGGAAAGCGCAAGGGTCATAGTTATCACTTGACAAGTCACAAACATACCTCTCTGCTAATTGCAACTTGTCGACAATGATCAAAGGTAACAAAAGCTAGAAAATATAAAAAAACTGTGCTGTTTATAGGTGTGGCTACACAAAAAATTTAGGGACAACAATGAAAAAGCTACAATGTAAATTCAGATTCAAGATCTTTAATCAAGTCGAGTGCTTGGAAATTGAAAACTGTAAGATTTTTTAAAACTGCTTGGTTAATTTTCATGCTCCTCCTACAACTTCCTAACAAAATGTTTGGCTGATAATTTTCACTGAGTATTTCATAATTATTTTCAAGAAAACTTGGTTTGCCTTTAAAGTTATCTAAAGAGCTCTTTAGTTGTCACACAAAACATGCTCAATGAAATCAGGAGAAAAAAGATTTAAAACTCCTACTACACTAAAGTTTTTCTTTTTGTGCAATTATTCTCAAAAATGGTTTTAACAACTGGGAACACAAGAACAGATCTATTGAGCAACATGCAACCGTGTGGTGGAGGAAACTGCCCTAACCCCCATTCTGATGCACATAAGAACAGACATGAATGTAACTTACTTGCTGTAAGTTCAGTACATGTTTAGTTTATACTTTTATAATAGGTTAGTAAGTACAGTTCATACCTCAGTTACTTCAAAATGCCTTTGAAGTTTTAACTTGTATGCAATTGTGGCAGCCTAGTACAAGAATACCAAAAATCAACATTCAACATTCCTTAGTAACCATGATTATTTTCAACCTGGTTTAGAGAGGTTTCAAATGATATGATTAGGATGTTAAAATGTAATTATTCTTTGATAATGGGTTTCAGAGGCCCTAAAGCAACTAGATTCTTTCTGTACACGTGGTCTTACATGATTGTAAATAAATTTTAAGTGAGAGAAAAAAACATTTTTCACCGAGAAAAAGTTGAACCATAACCTTTCCATATAGTGCTGATTAATTCCAAATGTCTAGAATACATATTTATTGAGCAAAGCTAAGAGAGATTCTGGATTAGCAAAATAACACATCTAAAAAAAATTAAAATTCTTAAACATATTTTTACCTCTTTGTACTTCCTCCTGGAATGCATTAAAAATCTCACATGCTTGGTTAAGAAACTGTTGTCTCCTGAATCAAGTTGAAATGTCCTTTTAACTGGCTCAAACAACAGAAATGTGGATGATGCAACTACTTCCAAAGCTAAGTCCTTCTGATTGTCAGATGGCCAGTAACCTAGCTGTTGGATTTCTTGAACATTCCTTCCTTCAGTCTTTGACTTCAGCCAGGCCTCAAACTCAACAAGAGTCATATAAGACAGTGACTTTTTGCCAGCTTGAATATCAAAGTCAGCAAATTTGATAACATACAAAACAAAATCAAAGCAATTCCTGCTGGCTTCAAAAGCCCTTGGAAGAAGTGACTTCAGTTCTATTAACATATCTGAGAAATATAGTGATTCAAGTTCATCCAGCCACTCTCTTTCTGAAACAAGGTGAAGAGATCTTGTAGCTAAATTTGCATCAAAATGCTGGGAAGATACTAAACAAGCTTCTGAATCTGACGAATGTGTTGAAGATGTTTCATCCCACAGCAAATCTTTATCACTATTAACACAAGGGTAAGATTTTTGATTTGTCATATATATTTCACTTTTGGAAGGTTCAATATCGGGATCAGTTCTGCTATGATGCATGTCATTTACAATATCATTATCCCAATCTTCTTCCCAAACAGTATGATTACAATGTGGCAAAGAATTTCCTTGATTAGTTGATTGGTGGAAACCTTTCCTGAAAATATTTGCATCACCAAACTTTAAATTAGAACTCTGCACAGAAAGTTGCACATGACCATTATTGTATTTCCTTGATGTTTCTGTTTGAAGTTCTTCCCCTCTTGTAAGTCCACCTGTTAGATAAAAATTAAATGTGCAGAGCCATAGGTGAGAAAAAGTTACAAAAGCATATTGTTCAACAATAAAGACACATATCTATTACCAGTATCCAAAGTAGATAGATTTTTTTGGTATGCTAGCGTATATAAGAACAGAAAATTAATTGCATAGCGTCTTATGATTTGAATTTAGAAGCAACAAGGAAGCGAACACGTCAGCAGAGTTCTACTCTGATTTTTTATTGTGACATACACGTAAGCTTTTTATCGCAAAATTTCGCCAGACCTTTCGACGAAATAGCGCTCTTTGTTCAACGGAAATTTCGCTCAAAACGCCTCGAATTGTCATTCGAACTTTCGCGCGAAATTTCGATGAAAGTTCGCAAGGAAAAAAACCAAATTCGCGCATTTGAAATGCGCGAAATTTTCGCTTGCGTTACTTCTGCACAATATTGTACTTGCACGTCAGTTAACTTTACGATTTAACTAAGTTCCCTATACTTTTTTGAAGAGGAAATGAATTCGCATCTCATACCTTCTTATCTTTTACCAATCATCATACCATTTTCGTTTCATTTAACCAGATACATTAAAAGATTTAACAGACCACGATTCTCTGTCGGAATTTCGATAGCATCATAGCCATGACATGTACCTTCTGAATAATCTTCGTGACAATAGGAAAGCAGCGACTGAAGCAATTCTTTAACCACACAGAAAACAGCCTGAATGGTTACAATCATTACTGAAACGTTCGTGTGGAGAGTAAAAGCAGTAAGACAAAAAAATCTTTCATATAGTTAATACTATTTTAGCTACTCACTGAGCGCATATAAGTTCATTTTCCAACAGGCGTTCTCTGTTGTCTAGATCCAGTTCTAATCGTTCGACCGTGAGGACAATACATTTTGGCTTACACGACATTAATCAATGTTTTGTCTCTGTCCACCATGAGTTATGTCCTAAGAAGTCTGAGCAAAAAGAAAGACGTCGACAATGCAATCAAGACGTGTGAAGATAAGGTCCTGGTGATGAGGTTTGGAAGAGAGACTGACGGAGTTTGTCAGCAACTGGATGATATCGTAAGGACGTAATGAGCCTATCTGAGTATCCTTGAATTTTTCATTGACCTTCATATTCACATACTTTATTACTGTTTTGTGGTTAAAAAAAATTACAAAGCATAGAAATAAATTAAATAATTGACAAAAGGGTAACTAATACAATAAAGAGCCATAGAGTGTTAGGGTAAAATCCTCAAAGGACTGTTTACAGTTACAGTGACTGATATTTCAACCCTAGGATGGAAGTCATTTTAACTGTCAGCGGAAGAGTTCCTTTGTGGTAGATGGTTTGACATGTTAGTCTGGTTTATTGAGACTCAATGGCCATTGTAGCAACAGTTTTATTAGTTTTAAATTTGAAGTAGTACTGGTCCGTTGTTACTGGCTGCTGGCATGCACAATGCACAATGTTTGTGGCCATCTTTAGATGGTAGCTGTAAACTATGTTCCGTTTTGGAATCGACTGCTTGACATTGGTTGGGTTGCTTGGCTCTCTCTATTTATTATTGAGGAAAAGTTGTCTATGTTTGATCTGTCTAACCAAAATTTGGTTTTAATGTGTCAACCAGCTGGAAATGTCATTTTCATTATTTAAATTTTATTGGCTTTTCAACCTCGGGCCCTAGTTTCAGTATTTGATGACACATAGTGGGGAGATAGTCACGCTTAATAATGTTCTAGTTATTATGAGGTAGAAAAACAAAGGAGAATAACGTTGATGAAAGGTGTGGCTGTGCTAGGTCATCCCACAGTAAGAGATAACGAGAACTGACAGCCATGTTGTCTTTCCTCAACTTGGGAATGTGGGAATTCTGATAATTTGTTTTCCTGGAGGTACAATGTTGCAACTGTAAATAGTTAATTAATTGTTCTCTTGTGTAACTTGAATAGCTTCAACTTAATTAAAGGGTTGTAGCTGACATAGTTGATGCAAGATAAACAAGATCTTAAGATTGTTAATAATTGTGAATAATTAAATAATGAATTATTGTACCTTGACACATTAGCTGGCCAAGACCTCCCATGACTTGTCTCGTATGGCTGATATATACATTGTGGATGTGGATGCAGTGCCAGTCTACACAAGATACTTTGACATCTCTCTGATTCCAGCAACTGTTTTTTTCTTTAATGGTCAACATATGAAAGTCGATTATGGGTAAGTTGGAGTCTAGAGAAAGATATCCATGATAAGAGACTGATAATTTTTGTTTTCAGACTGGAAGGACAAATGTTATAACATTATGAGAAGACAAAATTTCTTGCGCATTGATTTGTGATAAAATAGATTCCAGTGTTTTCTAGTAAATCTTTTCAGTTATTCGAATGTCACTTAATATAAACTAGCTGGTTAAACACTGCCAACTTTGTTGGTAAGGATAATCAGAGACTCCAACTTAGTTGTTTTGGCAGGAAACCTTCCATATTAGGCGTTCATTCCTGGCTGTCTGTTTTCCCTCAATATTTTTTGACTCTCCTTGAAAAGAAAGGTGAGATTCTCTCAGCTTCAATAGTCTTTTCAGTGGAATCCATTGTAATTTTCTTTGGTATCTCTTGCTTTTTGTTACTTCAGAGCATTTTAATACATGCCCATGATTTTTCCATGTGGTAATGCACTTGTCTTGAATTTGCTGCACAAACCACAATTTCAAAACACAGGAAGTGATATATTAGAGGCCTCTAAGAGGATTGGGTATGACCCCAGACCTCCTACTGAAGGGGTCAAGCTTTTCTTTACAGTAAATCTAAAAGGCTTGTATTCTCTGGACACTTATTGTTCTTACAATTCTTTGTTTATATTGTTGACTAACAGAAAGACAACATATTTAATCACCCTGTTCCTTTTTCTAGCACACCAGACCACACCAAGTTTATTGGCAGCTTCAAAACCAAACAAGATTTTATAGACCTGGTGGAGGTGGTACTGAGAGGAGCTTTAAGAGGAAAACTGATTGTAAACAGCCCCATAGATCCCCAAAATGTTCCTAAGTACAATCTTCTATACAAAGACATCTAACAATGATTGAAATTTTTTTGTAAATTTAATGTCTGTATGTGTATCTTTCCATTATAGAGAGTTGTACTAGCTAGGTTTACCAGGCTTAACTAGCTATGTTTAGAAAAGTGTAAATAGCTCTGAAATGTAGGATCTGTAAAATCTTCATCATTGATTGAAAATATATTGATTTTTTGTATTTGTATTTAATATGTAAGTCATTCCCTTCATTTTCCTACTCTGTACTTTGTGCTCATGAGTTAATCAAGAAGTAGAAAGTATTCAGACAATAAATTATACAAAAAGAATACCCCTGCCTCTCTATAATTAAACTAAAAGCTTATTGAAAAATGCTGCTCATGTTTAGAATAAAAGCAGTCCCTCCTTCCAGGAGGAGTCTGTTGCATGAGTTAAAAAAATAAAGAAAGAAACAGTGAAAAAAATTGATACTAATGCATGTTGCCTTGCTCCTAGAGCTCCATGCGGTGCTTAAACATCATATTATTTTGAAACATTTTTTTGACCCATGCCAAAAAGGCAGGATTTTTTTTAGTCTAGTTTATGTTAGAATCATTTCCCTCTGTTTTCCCTTGATCATCTACTTCAGATCGATAGTATCTCTCTCTCCACAATGCAAGCAATGGAATACAAACAGCATAAGTCACAAATGTACACCAATTAATCCACCTTAGTCCAAAATTTGGCAGCAATGGAAATATGTAAAATATTACCAGGAGAAAATTGCAAGACACTGTTAAGAAGCCAGATGTGATTCCTTCAGCAACAGGGTATGCAGTCTCCACTGCCATCTCAAAAAACATGGGCACAGTTCCATTTGCAAAGAATCCTCCAATGATGAAGGTTAAGTAAAGTACAACCTTGTTGTAAGGGATGATTTTTGCACATATTAATGTAAATAGGGCAAATGATACTGTACAACCAAGCAAGAGGACAAACTGTATTACTTTCATGTGCCTGGATACGTGGTCTGCAAGGCTGCGGGAAAATGAAAGGATACCATTTCAGTTTTTAACCTGCTATCTCTGGCTAACTGCCTGGTGTGGATCAACTGGAAGTTTTTAAAACTAAAATTAAGTTTTCCCCATTCTAACATTGCTTTACTTAGTCATTTCCCATCTTTCTTGACAACATTACTTTGATCACCTAAATTAACTCACAGAAGTTTTGATAGTTTTTGATTAATTTCCACTCATAAATTTAAGCCACCTAAAGTATAAAGAAAAGTTTTAAAACATGGTTTCACAAATGGATATGCTACATATTCAGCTCGGGCTAGCAAAAATCAAACCTTCATTTTAAAATGTTACTTTTACAACTACTATAATTAACAATTATTTGCCAAAGTGGGGAGTGAATAGTGGTAGATATTTACCAAGCCATGAAGCAGTGAGGTAACTACCCACTGACCACTTACACTGACACTGAGGTGAATATTTGTTTTAGTAAATACCACACAGATACAAAAAAGTTAGTTTACTGATTTCTCTTGAAATATCAAAAAATGGTCAGAAATCAAACTCTCGACAGGTGAATATTACTTGCTATTCAGTTCCAAACCAAGCAATCATTGTATGTTAAAGAGCACTCTTAACCGGTGTGGTATAATGATATAACTAGCTATTATTACCATTATTATTTTTATTTCTATCATACTAAATTTGAAATAAAAGAGAAAAAGTACAGTGAATATTTAGATGTTGTAAATAACATGGATGCTTACACAGATAGAGAAATTCCTGACACTATTCCAGCCATTGAAGCACCAAATCCCAGCCAACCAGCAGATTTTTCTCCAATACCAAACTGTGACAGATTTAAGTCTAATATAGACACCCAGCCTACATAAACACCTATAGTTGCCCCATTTATAAACAGCAAAAGCCAAAACTGTTTATTGTTCATGAGTCGTCTGAAACCATCTTTAAAATCCAAACGATTGACTGCTGCTGTTAAACTGGGTGGCAGTTTAGGTTTGCTTGGAAAATACACTGCAACTAGAAGCAAAGTCAATGCTGCTGCCCCCAATTCAATGTACATTAGTTGCATAATTTTCCCCTTGAGATACATTATCTGTTCATGAGTCATGTTGTTTCGCAATTTGATGTAGTCAATGCTTTTACCAATTGAGCTGCTTTGATTTCCTACATCTGGAACTAACAGGGGCCCAATGATAAAGGAAAGCCCAGAACCAATATATGGAGCTAGTGATGCTAATGCAGTTGACGTTGTGCGCTGGTGTGGAGGAAACCAGGCAGCAGATATTATTGGACCTGATGCCATAGCAATTGGTCCTCCAATGCTGTTGAAGGCGACCCCGGCGTGAGTTAACCAGGTCTGAATTTGCAGATTATCTAGCGGAATAGCCTGACATACTGCTCCTATGACATTAACAACTCCCAAGAGGAGTGTTGATGCTCTTACACCTGAAGGTCGTGGATAATAATAATATTAGTTGATATATGCTTGGTTGATATATTATTTCAACATGAAGACTTTAAACTTTTACTCTAAACCAAATACACAATTGAGAAATGGAGAAAAAAAATAGTTTGAACTGTTGTTACATAGGCAAAGATGTTTTTTTGTCTATGATGAGTGTGGGATGGAGAAAAAAAATCTGAGTGAGGAATCCAACCTCAGCCCATGGATTCCGTGCTCCTATCCGCTACCAATGAGCCACAGAGACTCTACCATAATCAAGGCTGCATGCTCCTTGCATACATCTAGGATCAGCATAAGTGATTAAAGTGTCCTGCATGAACAGGCTTTCAAAGATGGCAAATCTTTTTATAACCATGTTTCTTAATCTATTTACAGATATGTTACACGTCCGTGACTAGTCATATGTCACTCATGTGACTTGTCACGCAATCTGATTTAGCCGATTATATCCAGGCAACCTCTTATGGATATAAATTATGCACAATAGCACCATCAAATGATGTAAACGCTCAACTCTCTCCAGCATAAACACCCAGATACCAAACCCTAATGTCCATCTAGAAACACCTTGTGTACAATCGATTCAACGTGACACCACGTAGTTCTTTGATAAAGCTGTACCTATATGCCAAAATATCAGTTTTAAGACTGCTGAAGTCTTATGCCTTGGCATAACTAAACTGAAAGCAGAATTATGTTTACGAACCTCCTCATAAGATACGAGCTGCCAACATCTAATTTAAGACAAGGAGTTGCAGCATTACTTTGTTATGTAATCTTAATTTGCCCCCCGACGAAATAACCATTTTTTGTCATTTTCAGCATCACCAATTTACTATTGAGAAGTTTCCCTCTATAAGAAAAGGACTTTTCAAGTGGGTGTTGATGATTCGAAAGTGTCCATTGCCCGAGATACTTATCTTTTTTGAAAGGAGAGTTTAGTTAACAGTACAATAACTCGATCGTTAACAGCTGGGATTAACTCGTGGAGTCCTTCTCAAAGAGATGTAAGTCTTATTGAGGTGTCCGTTAAGAGAGTGATAATTATAAATTGAAGCATACAACGTAATGAAACATAAGTGTTTTCTACCTTTCGCATCCATTAGCCATGACAGTGGTAAAAACATAACGATGAAAACAATCGGACCCCACGCAACAAGTAAAGTGATGGTCGCATCGCTCCAGCCAAAGACAACTTGTGAGGTTCCCTGAATCGGGCTCCAAGTGTTCCATTTTGCACCATTTAACGCAGAACATAGAAAAAACATGAAAAGTATATACCACCTCTTCTTGTAGACTTTAAAATTCTGTCGATTTACCGGATCTATCGAGTCACGTAGAAGATCGATCCGTGAGGAATTGATTAGTACATTCGTCTCATCCCGCAGATCCATTATAATTCTTTGGACCTTCTTTCGCGGAGTAGCTTTGAAATATTTACCTCAATAGTTAAAAGTGAAAAATAAATAAGGAGACCCTTTAAGCCCTCGAGTTGAACCACTAACGTTTGACCGGCAAATCACGGGTATAGAATGTGTGACAACTATACAAATACTGCATAAAAGCGTTGCGTGATGCAAACAAAGCCTTTTGAAATGTTCCCGAAAAAACAGCTGTGAGGGAGGCGGAGCGTATTCATCACGTGCCAGTCTTCTAACTCTGCTAATGGGCTAATGAAAACATGCATGTTTTAAAAAGGAACTGGTTTCAAAAGCTTCCACTGGGATGACTCCACCTCCTATAAAGACTCTACCGTTTTTCTATTTGAGAGAACAATCTATACGGAGGTGAAACTTAAAACTTCGTCGGCCGGAATTCCCTCTGATACAGAAAACGGACTCTTTCTTGACCGCCAAATAACGTCGAAGTTAAGGAAGTAACGCCCGATGCAAACATAACAAGTTTACTAAATCTTCTTATCAGTGATCGCTTATGTCCTCCAAATTTAGTGAGAAAGAATTATCTTATTGTTTTAGTTTGAATCTACTAGTATTTGAAACAAAGAGGAATCTGTTAGGTTAGTCTGTATCAGTATATTTGTATCTCCTTGCGTTTTACCACAAAAGGTGCGATCTGATTGGTTGCACTGCTCGCTATCTATTCCGTGATATACGGTGAGTTGGTGAGTAGCCTAACAACAAAACAGAATAAAAACACGAGCCTGTCCTGTTGTTACGGTTCAACGTGATAAATGGGTCGGACTTAACCCTCATCAACTACATCGCCACAGAAATCTCATGCTCACTACTTCAAAGTTAAGTAGAAGGTTAGAAATCCTATCCAACATCCTCAGTTAAAAAAAATTATTACCAGTTTACAAGATAAAGGTTTCATTGACAAGGGAAACAGGGCTAGAGAGAAAAGGTATCGAAACTAATTAGCAGAAGAACATTTTTTTCATACAAAGCGGCCTCACAATCTAAATAAGATCACGAATTCATGCTGCATCGTCATCCACAACTATCGGTTTCCATCTTTTACCTGAGTTTTAGGTAATACTAAATTTCCTCACCAAAGAGGCTCCAAGCGTACCATACAGCGCAAACGAACTAGTCCGTTCGGCCTTTCCTTGCAGAGGTATTTCCATCTATCATTACAATCTCCAGAAATCAAAATATTTGTATTACGGCTTCAACAAAAAGACAGCGACAAGAAAATGAACGTGCAAAGAACTTTAATTTCAATTTTCCTCAACTTTACATAAACATTTCTACAATTTCCTTGAATTTTGCCAGACCTCAAAAATTTCTTAAAAATTACCATTCCGACTCCTGGCGACATGGCCAAAGCATTGTATTCAAATGTCTTTGGGAGTCTATCGTCGTTTGCATATCAGGTCATTTTCTTTTCTTTCCCTTCTTTCCCGTTTGTTCTTCCCGAAGTTTCGCATTCTTGTTACGGTTCTTGTTTTTCACATTCACTGTCTCGTAGTAACGAACACCAATCTTCTGTTTGTTTGTTTTCAGACGTGGTGCCTAAATGGAAACAAAAGAACAGTCACACCTCAACAGTTAAATTCATATTCTCCACACTTTCCTACGTTACCGACAAAGAGAATTTGTTTGACAATCAGGAGCTTCGTGAATTGGTGATTATATCCTTAATTCTCATGACCTTTACATTTGATTCAAGGGTGATATTGTGAGGAGAAATTAGACTCTGAGTGGGGTAAAGGCTTAAAAGACTCCTTTGCAGAGAGGATATTTCACTGAATATGACACAGCCTAGTTACAAGCAATCTACCTTCATTTATTCAACGACCCAGCTGAAAATGTATGATCGCACAACGCCCTCGAAATTATTCATATTAACAGGAGAAGAACGTCAATGTTCAATTTTACCTTTGGTTTGGGCGATTCATCACCTTCGCTGTCGTCGTCACTTTTGCGTTTGCCACGTCTTCTATCAGTGCCTCTAAAACCTGTTGAATACGTAGCAAATAAATAATAAGCGTAAATGAAATAAGAGAACGACAACGAGGAAATTAAAAAAAGGAAAAACGGTACTCGCACCGGTTGGGTATCAACCAAAGCGAATTTTACAAGGATTTCTCCATGCGAATGTCCTGTGTGGGTTAAGCTCCGTGTTCGTTTTAGAACCATCCAGACTCTTCCTTTTCAACAGTAAGACTAGCAACTATTAGAAGGTTGCAGAAAAGGTATTTTAATGATTTGCAAATCTTGATCGGTGAGGAATCCCGGGGATTTGAGTGGGAAACGTGACAACGGCGCAGCGCAATGGTTTAACGTGCTGTTTGAAATCTGAAGTCTCACTCAATTGGATTTTTTTCTCAGTAGTCCTGAGTTTAACTTCTCTGTACAGTTACGCTTACTAAAAAAGGCCACGTAAGGTTACTATTACAGTTGGGAGGGTTACCGTTGATAATAAACATTAAGTTTAAACGGAATACGTTTATTTCTATTTTCTATTTTCTACTGAAGGTCGAAAGTAATTGGGGTGTACATTAGTTTTTGCTTTACGATGGCCTTTGTTTTCTCTAAAAACCCACGTGACCGTCTCAACCAATCAGATGCAAAGTCAAAACTTGTCGCGTCCAATCCTCTCACGTTTTCCCGCGCTCCAGGCAATGCACTCTATTTCACTCTCATTGGCTCCTTTTGATAGATCCTTTGTTGTGATTGGCCATTGCAATAACTTTGGACATGCCCAGTTTGATTTCAAAAGTGCGCTACCGCTTACCTATTTTCGTACCTTTCCTGGTGACTTTTGTTTCTCTTGTTGCTGTTAATAATCTGTCCGGACGCGCTCGTGGAGTGTTATTTACATTATGTTCCTTGCCAAGTTGTTTCTTAGTGCCTTCCTCGCTTCCTTCCGCTTCAACACAAGCGACGTACGGGCTTACCCTTACAGAGAATTGCTGATCAGTGGGCGTAGTCCACTCCTGTGCCCGGCGAGAGGGTAATTTTTCTACACCTGGCAAACAAAACATTAAAAAAAAGAAAACAAACAAAACATAGTTCGTTATCCACGGTGTGATTTTCCAGGGAGGGGACTGAGGTTTCATCAACTTCTAGTTGAAAATTTACTTACACTTTCCTTTTTGGGCGTCGCCCAACAGATTTCTGTCGCTAAGTCTATCGCTCGTTTACCTTTGATATCCTTTTCGAATCATCAACGCAGAAAAAAGCAGAAAAAAAGACTGCACTTTACGCACAAATTATCTCTGCCTGATCTCAGGTGCCTCCGCAAATATCACCACTTTCTGAAAAATCGATTGCCCACTTGAGTTTTTGATAGGCTGTAAGTTTAACCTGACCATCAACTCATCACAAAACACTTACCTTGTAACTTTTTGTATTTTTCGAGCAGTCTCTGTTTCCTTTTTTCAGTCTCCTTGTCTAACGTGACTGTCGACTCCTTCAAAGGACCAAGCCTTTCTTCTGATTCTTTTTTATTGTCCGACGATTCATCATCATTTTCTACACTGTCACTATGACTATCCTCGTTACACTCGTCCATTCTGGTATTCACATTACTCTCAAGTGGTCGCTGCTTTTTATTTTTTCCTTGTTCGTCCTCTTGCTCTTCTTCTTCTTCCGTTTCATCATCCTCTTCGCTTCCAAGCTCCTCCTCTCTGAAAAACGGACACAAAATAATGAACAAGTATAACTCCATAAATTAATCACTTTTTTTTTCGTTTTCATTCAGCTTTCCCATTTCAAAGACTCTGGGATTTCAAGAAGAAGATTGAAGCGTGAGCTACCATGCGAGAGGGTCTGGAGTGAATATCTATCTAGATGTCTATGTGAGGCGAGTGAAAGCTGAAAAATTTACAATTACTTACGAAAATGTTTTCTGACATTAACTTCCCTTCCATGTTTAACACTCTGGAGGACTAGATCGATGTTTGTGGCATTTGAAAAGCGTAGCCTTGATATTTCAAGTTCTGCATTAGTGATACGTTGAAATCTTCTCCATCCTCATTCTTTTTATAATCCTTCCTGGTTTATAAATGTCTCTTATCGAGCTTTGATTCGATGTCTACGTAACGCTGCAGGCATTTTGCGCGTCGAATAAATTAATTAAAAATACTCTGTAATGTCTTAACTCCTTCAATTGTACTTTTGGCTCTCTAACGCTGTGTTCACTTTAACTTCGATTAGCCTGATGTACATCTAGTACATGAGGTTAATATTTCCCATACGATATTGACAAGTTCCTCGCTGCTCAGTGAGTGGAACATCTCACCGCACCATGTTACGGCACGTGGTCAGGGTTCGAACCCTGGTGCAGGGAATGTTGGGTGTTTTTTTTTTCTTTTTTTGTTTCTCTTATCATATCGATCTTCTTTATCAAAGTTGACCAGTAAATACTCACTCGTATTTCCCGTAAGCTGCTCTGACGTCATCTCCCTCTTCATCCTCCCTCATATCCTCCTCCTCTTCTTCTTTTTCTTCTTCTTCTTCTTCTTCTTCAACTTCCTCTTCTTCCTCTTCTTCACTTTCATCCTCAAATTCAGGATTTCCATCAGGTTCCTTCCCTTCTTCCAAGGGCTGCACATCGTCGCCAGTATATTCAAGTCCAACGTTAATGGCACTGAAATCCTGTTTCACATGTAACTTTACATTCTTTGACTTCTGAACACAGTCGTCATTGATCGCTGTATTCTCGCCAGACTTAATTTTTGCGGTCTCAGACGAACACCTTTCCTGAGTTTTATTTGTATCGTTTGTCTCAACAGCTGTTTGTGCCTCAGCCAATGGGTCCGTTGGGGAGTTATGTTCTTCGCCAACTGAAAGGCTGCCGTTTTGAGCAGTTTTTTCGTTTCCTTGCTTGGTGTTTTCTGTTCTCGTTTCCTTCTCAGCTAGTTCTTCTTTCTTATCCTTAGCCTCAGTGTCTGCTTCTTTAACAAAACTTTCTTCAAGTGGTGGAAATCGAGACGATGTTTTCTTTTCATTCTTCGTTTCTTCTGAGTTAGATTCTCCTTCCTGCGAAAAGTAAAAATGACTGAGGGATCTTTAACAAACTAAAAACTACGAGAGCGTGATATGGCCGAAGACAGACTTATTACAATGTTCTTTTTTTTCTGTACGGGACAAGGTTTTTGAACAAGAAGAGACCTTGACGAGAGGGGTGTGGAGAAAATGACTGGCCCTTACCTCATGCATCATAAAATGCCTCTGGAACACACAAAAAACGCTTTGTTCCCACTCGATTCCGCCCTTTTTTTAGGGCGGAAAATGCACCATATCAATAATTATGCCTTGACACCAAAAACAATTGTGATATTTTAAGCAATTAATTATTGTTTAACTCGTCGGCCAGTGCATTAGGAAAGCTGATTCGATTCATAGAGAAAATGGTAAAGAGATTTACGACTTTCAATTTTTCCGCGTGTGAGCCCAGCTAATTCAGGAGGCAGCACGAGGTGTTGCACCACCATGCCTTCGACATTAGATTAGCTTCAGACTTTTTACTTCCCTTCCGATGAGAAAAGGAAAAAAACTTTTTACCTACCTTATTTGGTGGTGCAACAAAGTATGGCAGCTTCCCACGTTGGAAATCATTCAAAATCATTTTGGCCACTGTATTGACATCAGCTTCGCCACCCTGAGGAGAAAGGAATTGAAATTGGAACAACTTTCAGGCGGAAGAAAGAGAAATGAAATCAACGTCTCTTTCATGAGGCAAGGGACAACGTCTGCAACCGAATCTAAATTTCACAGCTGCCGAAATAATCGCCTTTTCAGTGGCATTCAGGGGCTAGAACTATTGCTTCTTCCTCAAGATTCGATGGTTGTTCATCACGAGTAATTCCCACGCACTTCGTCAGGTTTCCCCAGCAGGGTATACATTTGTACGCAGACGTAATGAAAGAGCACAGTGTCACCCAACTGAGCCTCAAACCTGAAACTTTCAATCTGGATTTCAGCGCAAAAACCACACAGCTACAGCTTATCTTACGACGCCCGTGTAAAAGATGTTTCTTACCTTGAGAAGCTTGCCAGTTCGTTGCGCGACTTGTTCCAGAAAGTCTGTTGGATCGTTCCACGATGATACTTTGTAAGTCTTCGCGATGTACTCCTGCTTGACCCGTTCCAATACAACGGGGATGTGGCAGGCTGCGTCTTTCACATTCTCAACACGAACCTGGTGATCAAGAACATGCAATCCGCATATAGTTTGAGTCACACTATGTTAGTGTATAAACTGCTTGCCACAAAATAATGAAGGACTAAGTTTAAAAATTTCCACAGGATTCAGGTTTCCGGGGCTAGCTAAGTGGCCAAATTTCATGACAATCAGAGATATTAAATATCTTTAAAGAGCATAGGGACATTTGATGTGAGATTCGACCCTCAAACCTCAGACTTGCGGACATACGCTCAATATATTAAACTAAAGAGAACTTGCTGCAGCCCACAACCAGAAAATACATGTAGATTCATATAGCTGACAAGTGTTCTACACACTGCCAGGATCAGTATTATTTTCAGTGCAGATAATTCTAAGAACACCCAAAGCACTCACGCACACAGGAGCACGTACCACATCGCAAACTACTAGCTCTATACAGAGATTCCTTACCACGCCTTTAAGTATAATCTCAGTTTCCGAGTCACCACTTGGATACACGACTCCAGGGCAGTCAATTAGGTAGATTCGCCTCATCAGTGTCACGTACTGCCACACCTGCAAACAGTGGTCAAGGATGTGTCAGACAGCTCAAGGTGCTTGGCAACAAGGCTAAAATAGTCACGAATAATCAGCAAATAAAGTCGAACCTCGAGTATCTTTACTGAGACACGATACTGTAAAAATCCCAATTACAGGCCCCCGGATAAATGACTTTATGGGTTTTTATTTCATATTTTGTATTTCACTACAGAAACTTTACCACTGACTCAACCAACCCGTCACCGGAACTCATTCTCACTTTGACCTCAGAACTGTAATCCATAAAACTAAACGTTTCGCACATTTACATCAGCACTATAAAAATGTAAAAAAAAAAGAAAAAAAAAAAAAAGGAAAAGTGAAAGAGAAAATAAAAATTAATTTTTACCTTGGTTTCCCCAGCAATTGGTGCCACGTTACAGACTTTCTTGGCTCTCAGTGTGTTTATGATGGAACTCTTCCCGACATTAGGGTAACCAATAACGCCAACACTTCAAAAGAAAACAATTTACAGACATAAACCAAAGGCAGAATGCCACTTCTCTTCCCCCACCCACCTCTTTCTTCGGGTATGGAAAAGTAATTACTAAAAAAAAAATTGTAGTTAAAATTTCGAGCGAAAATTTGCTCGGATATCTTTCCGCGTAAATCATCTATTCCTCGAAGTGAGCAGACAGAAAAACAGTCCGATACCTTTTTTTTTGAAGATATGCTCTCTCAGTCTACGTCTATCTGCTATTAATTGAAAAATATTTACAAACGTTGGAGGTTACAACTAACCTTATTTGCTTCTTGTCAGTGTGAAGCTGTGAAAGAGAAAAAAAGTATAACATTCAAAAAACCGGGAAATGCACATTTTAAACCAAAGCTATCGGTCGTTTTTTTTCAAGTGACCTTTCCGCCAAGGGCTGTCTTACCCTGCACTAAAGTCGTTTCCCCCAGAGTTGAAGCACAATTACATGTAAGTCCCAGGCAATTTACGCTATTTCATCATTTTTTTATCCTCGAGAAACTGCTCAAGCTTGAAGGAAATCCCTTGCGTTATGGGAATTCAAGTGCAGGTTTCAAGAATCTAAGTTCAATTAGTATAACAATGGTAACGAGAATGAAAGTTTCATTGTCTTAAGTGCTGAAATTTGACACATAACATCTCAAAATTAGTTTAACATCTTCCTTTATTCAACAACCGAGTTCCAAATTAACCACAATATACCGTCATCAATCTAATAAAAAACTTATCAAAACATTCCATATACCTTTGCAAACTGTCTGAGTAGGTTGA